TTTTTTTTGCTGGGACCTTCCTTGATCCTTACACGGGCTGGCCACCCGGGACCCGGGCGGCCCCGCTGGTAGCCTAGCTCTGTGCGCAATTGCGCCCAGGAACGTCGAAGTTACAAAATGCCCAATGGGGTAATTACTCTGTGCGCAATTGCGCCCAGGAAGGAACGTCGAAGTTAAAAAAATGCCCGATGGAGTAATTACTCTATGCGCAATTGCGCCCAGGAACGTCGAATTTAAAAAATGCCCAATGCGGTAATTACGCTGTGCACAATTGCGCCCAGGAAGGAACGTCGAAGTTATAAAAATGCTCAATGGGGTAATTACTCTGCGATCAATGTCATGATAGGCAGGTACAGCTCCTGCATTAAGCGGAGCGACTTAAGCATCACTATCTTACACTATCTCACTATTTACAGACCAATTAACTCCGTGATCGATGGGAAAAAAGGCAGTACGGCTGTACTGATTCGAGCGAAGTGTGCGAGAATTGCAGCCGTACTGACTATTTTCCCATCGATCACGAAGTTAATTGGTCTGTAAATCTTCTAGATCTATTCTGTATTCCCTTTGTATAAGGGAAGCTGGACCCGTTTTCCAGCAGGTGATGCTCCCCACCAATAGATGGAGCCTTTCCCCGGGTGCTAGTGGTGTCTGCTTTTACCAGCGCCACTAGCAATGCAGGGATTTGTTTTTGAAAAAAAAAAAAAACAAAAAAAAAAAAGAGATGGTTGCGTCGAGTTAAACGCTACAGCCTTGCAGGGGTGGGGTGGGTACCATAGCCGGTATGGTTTCACTTTCGAACACCGTGTCCTGGCTGTAGTGGGCGTTAAACCACCATCAGTACTTCGCCCAGCTATCGGCCACGGCAAAAATAGAGTAGAAACGTTTCTACTTGGATGAATTTGGGCACTCCTGTAGTGGCCCGTACGTTTGCTAAAATCATGGCGCGTTAACGGGGCACGACTTTAGGAAGTACTACTGGTGGTTTAAGAGACTTGGCTCTTGAGGCCGAGGTCGCCGGCTCGAATCCGTGCTTGCACGAAGGAGGGCTTCGGCCCAGATATACGAATCCATAACTCTACTGTATTCAGTGAGGCGATGTTACAATCGCTGTTTATTTGTGCACAATAACGGCTGCATTCACTGGATGAATGATGAATGCAATATATATACAATACGTGGCTGAATTCACTGGAGATATGAACTACTTACTCTTCGCCTTTCTTTTTTCCCCTTTTTTTTTTTCCTTTTATCGCGTTCATGACCAGTTTTGTCAGGCAGGATGATCGGAAACACATGCAATGAGAGATAATGATAACAGACTGAGGGCATACTCACACTAGGGCTACTTGGCTTGCGTGTGGACGTGATCGCGGGCTTATACATCCAGGTCCGGCCGTAAATGTGGTCAGATACATTTAAGATAGGGCTGGTATGAGTACGCCCTGAACCAGAGGTTGACGGAAATAAAATAGGACCATGCGCAAACTACGACAGCATTTAGGATGAATTTCGGCTGTAACATCGGCCAGATTCTATCAAAAATACCGTCGTAGCGCCTACAGGTCCTGTCTTTACTCGAAGTGTACGCACCCTCTCATAATGACAGCGGATCAGAAGAAAGAGCTTGTATACATTGATGATCAGCTGCGTTGTGTTCGGGGGTAGAGGAGTGGGGGGGGGGGGGGGGGGGGAGGGTAATATATATATTATTGTCACATGATATCAGAGCGCAAAAGCGAAAAACAGGGTAATATATATATATCGTCACACCGTGTATAGGAGCGCAAAGGCGAAAAAAGACAATACCAAAAAGGAAAGAAGGAAAGAAAACTAATGATCAGCTACGTTGTGTTCAGGGGGGGAGGGAGGGGAGAGAGTAATACTATGTACCCTAAAGAAAAAGACTGTCAATTTCACGCGAGGCTCAGACCAACAAGACAAGAGAGAGAGAGAAGAGAGACTTACCAACCGGGTTGACATTGCCCCAGTACTCTTCCTTCTGAGGATGCTGGAGGGGATCGCCATAAACCTCACTCGTGCTCGTCAGCAAGAACCGGGCATTAACCCGCTTCGCCAACCCCAGCATGTTCAACGTTCCCACGACATTCGTCTTGTGAGAACAACGAACCTCCGCCTAAGTCAAGGCTAAACAAGTCGTCTTATGAAGATCACCCACCGTAAGAGCAAAACAGACTGACAAGAGAAACGATTGACCAAGTGCTCTTAATAGCATCAAGCATCGACGGCAGGTGAGAACCAAAAAGTGAGATAACACCAGAGAGAGAGAGAGAGAGAGAGAGAGAGAGAGAGAGAGAGAGAGAGAGAGGCTGAAGAGCAGATAAAGCGAGGAAGAAGAAAAGGATGAATAGAAAAGAGAGAGAGCAGACCGGGGGGGAAGGGGCGGGGGGGGAAGGAACAGTGGGGCGGAAGCAGGGATGCAATAGAGAGGAGGAGAAGGGGAAAAGAGAACGGGAGAAAAGGGGAGAGAGAGAGAGAGAGAGAGAGAGAGAGAACGCGGGAATCAGAGGGATTGGCGGGGCGAGGGCGAAGGGAGGGGGTGGGAAGAAACATTTTAAGAACGAGAAGAGGGAGGAGGGGAAGAGAGGGAAAAATGAGACGAAGAAGAGAGAGGGAAGGGGCGGGGAAGAGGACGGGAGAAGAGAGAGGAGACCGATGGGAGATGAAAGCGACACAAGAAGCGGGAGAAAAGGTGATTGGATGAAAAGGCGTGGGGTAAAACGGCGGGAAGAGGAGGAAAACGACCAGGAGAGAAAGATGGCGGGAAAAGGAAGGGAGGGGAAGACAAGGGAAGAAAGAGAAGGGGGCGCAGAAAAGGACGGGAACAGAAGAGAACAGCAAGCAATGCGGGGACCGAGAGAACAGAACACTTGAGAGAGAGAGAGAGAGAGAAGGAGAGAGAGAGAAGGAGAGAGAGAGAGAGGCGCAGGACTCAGGTGGGCCGAAGTGAAGAAGAGCATATAGAGCAGTTGTCAGACAGAGAGAACCAAAATGAAGGTGGACAGATCGATTCAAGCGAACAGGAAGGGGTACACACATACTGCCCGCCTAGACGCATCACTCACCAAATGCACACAAGACGAACATTACGGCGGCATATCCACCTTTCGATGGCCTAGCGGACCAGATTCATTACCATTTTTTTTGCATATTTGTTGAGTGGCGGGCGCTGCGAAGCCCTGTGGCGGAATTTGGTAATTCGCTAAAAGGATATGATGGTCTTCACAGGATTATGCTTATAGAAGACTGGAGAGGCCGGGCACGCCAGATGGTAGATCTCATCCACTTCCAACAGAATTGGCTCAACTACATCATGCCTAATCAGTTCGAATCGAGGATTACCGAGATGATGCACAACGTTCTCTTTCCGCCCAGTGAAGAAATTGTCAACGACAATCACTTCATCACCCCTCTCAAGTAACCTGTCCACCAAATGACTGCCAACAAATCCCGCGCCCCCTGTCACCAACACCCTCTTCCTCCGCTTAAGCAGTACCAGGGGCCTCCTCAGCGCAGTCCCAGTGACGCGTGCAGTTGCGACCTTGTCTACCACAACACCGATATCAGGAATCACTTCCCATTCGTCCTTACCTCCAGCTAGGTAGTCCATAGGTACGACGCGCCTTGCATCTTCCTTAGGCGATGATAAGCTGGATTTGATGGCCATAAGACCCGTGGTAATCAGCATGCCGATGATTACGTAAACGATCCGTTGTTCGCGCAAGAGAAAGTGGATTGGTTTCATTGGCCCTTGTCGGGATCTAGCCCAAATCAAGAGCCCCGACCCCGACCGTCGAGCAGTCCCGTTATTCAGCATCTTTGCTAACCCCGGCCAAGAGTGTAAGCGCAACTTTGACTGGTCCTTCTTGCCACACGCCACACAGTCACGACGTTTTCCAGACGCTCCTCCTCCTCCCCCTCCCCCTCCCCCCCCCGCTCCACCCCGCCCTACCTCCCCACCTCTACTCCCTCCCTTCCTCCCCTACAATCTCCGGGAACGTCGACTCCCCTTCCGCCAGAAAGATGACGCACTGCCTTCCCCAACCCGCCTCCTGCTTGCTGCGCTACTCGTTCATGCTCGTCAGTAACCCCTTCACTGAAAGATCGGGTTTCACAACAAAAACATGAGGTACCCGGAACGCACACTACAAGACACTGACTGATGGCCTAACAAAACAAACAAGACAACCAGCGACAGTTAGGAAACGCCTGTGAGAGAAAAGAGCAGACTTATCTGGCAGTCTCCCCGCAGTCCCCGCAGTCCCCCCGCCCTTCGATCAAAAACTACGCCCTGAGACGTCGATGTGGACCACGACAAGAAGCTCAGGGTGAACTGCCTCCCACTGCATGAAAAAGGTGCGTAAGGGACGGCGAAGAATTTGTCAAGAGAGAGGAGATAGCAGGGAAGTCTGGTCTATCAGAACCACAATCAAAGTCCTTCCGGACAACCGTTAAAATTGGAACGATACAGAGAATGAAAGAGAGAAGATTAGCATGGCCCCTGCGCAAAGATGACACGCATAAATCGAGAGCCACAATCAACCTCGCCCCTCTTGTCCGTGCCGGCGCTCTTCCCTGGCCGTGCCCACCTCCATCCCGCACTGCCCTGGCCGACAGTGATCGTCGTTCGTAAGGCCTTCTGGCATGCAAAACTGGAACAGTACTGTGCGCCCATTCCGTCACGGTAGATTGACTTGCCGCCAGGGCGCGGGAACGGAGGCGGTAAGCGTGTCCTCGACGCGAGGCCCCGATGACGGCGGGGGCGTATGAGCCCAGGTAGGCAAGGGCAGCCCTGAGGCAGCCGCAAGTGCCACAGACGGCGGAGGACGTTACAGGCGGCCAGGGAGGGGTTCGTGGCGGGCGGGGTGACAAGGCGATGTGGGTACACAAGCATTTCGGTGGCCGGCCTGGATTTGTTTGATGTGACTCGCAGCCTTTGGGCAACCGTCCTTTGGCCGTGGCCAATCAGAGCCCTGGTTAACTTTTTTTGGACGAAGGTTCTCAAATCCCGGTATGGCCAGTAGGTAAGTAGCCTTAGGTGGTAGGGGGGTAGGCGAGTAAGAGACTGGTAGTTAGTGAGATCATGCAGGCAGGTCAGATGTGAACTCTGTGGAGTGATTTTTCTGTGATTTGTCAAACGCATAAGCTAAACGGACTGAATCTGTCGGGATTACTCCGGGTTGAATTGTGAGGTCCCCGGCCTCGTTCTTTGATGATTGGTAAAAAAAAATTGGGGGACCGGTCCTTGCCAAGGACTTAGATTGTCAGATTATTGACTATTACGTAGACCCAAGAGGACGTTGGGTCTGGGTCAAGCTCGAAATTGACACAGAAGAATGGGCTATAATGTCGATATAAGTTCCGGTGATTTACGCAGAACGCGTCCCCTTCTTGGCTGACCTTCCAGCACATATCCCCGAGGTGGAGAATTTCGCCATGATTGGGGACTGGAATACTACCTTGAACCCAGGGCTAGATTCACCCACCCCCCTAGCTTTACGGTCGGATAGCACAATGTTGATGTCCCTCTTGGAAGCCCAGTCTCTTACAGATACCTATAGGACGATGAATCCAGAAGACCATGGCTACACCTGGTACGGGCCACGACCTTCTAAGTCAGCGCCCCAGCCTCGCCGTAGGCTGGATATCATTACGTTGAGAGGCGATCTTTGGGACAGGTGCTTATTTGCGGATTTTTTAATTTCTGACATTTCTGACCACTACCCAGTTGTAGTGGCCATTATTGCAAAAGACCTGATCCAGAAAGCCAGGGCCCCCTTCCGCCTAAATGTGGCAAATTTAAAAGATAAGGGTATCACTGATTAGGTTAACACTCAGATGATACAGTGGCCCAAGGCCCGTGACCTGTTCACAAGTGAGTATCAGTGGTCAGAAGTGGGGCTGGGCATAATCAGAGAAGCCCTGATGGTTTTCTCACGGATGAAGTCTGCAAACAGGAAATGGAAAGAATTGAAATGTTTGAAAGACATTGAACAAGCGGAACAGCAAATGGGTCAGGATCCCTTTACTGACTATTTTTGGTCTGAGAAAAGAAAACAGGCTTTGTGCCGACTCGAGTCTTTGGACTTGCAGAAACAAGCGGAATGGCTTGAGTGGCTAAAGCTTCGGAGGATCGTAGGCTACGATAGAATGACTAAAGTGACTTTTTGTTCGTTGATCCTAAAACAATCTAAGCCACTAGTTAGAAAACTTATTCACCCATTTCAGCAAAATTTAGCAGTGGCGTCAGACACAGTTACTATGCGCGCCAATGCAATGGATTATTTTAGGGACATAGTTTCTACAAGGGGCCCTTTTGATAATTTCACAACAGACCTGTTGCTGAAATCGAATTTTTGGGAAAGAACTAATGCCTGTATCGGTACGGCTGCGAAATTAAACTTGGACCTCCCCTTGTCGCAGGAAGAACTCCACAGAGCGGTAAAACAAATGGCAGCGGGCAAATGCCCGGGATTGGACGGGCTTCCGATGGAGCTATTTCTTAACTGTTGGGAGGGATTTGGCCCTTTTTTATGTCAAATCTACAACAGTGCACTTACAAAGGGGTCTCTACCCCCCAACCTGGTGAAAGGGGTGATCTCCCTGATATATAAGAAAGGGGATAAACGAGACGTAAAGAACTATCGCCCAATATCACTGTTAAACGTCACCTACAAAATCCTAGCCAAGGCCTTGGCCATTAGACTAGCCTTACTACTGCCAAACCTGGTGGGATGGGAACAAGGGGCGTTTGTCAAGGGGAGGTCCATTTTCGAAAAAATTCTGACCACCGTTCAAGCATTAGAGGTCATCAGTGCAGAAAAGAGAGAGGTACCCATTCTGTTGCTGGACATGGAGAAGGCCTACGATAAGGTAGGCTGGGCCTTTGTCTCAACAACACTGGCTAGAATGGGTTTTGGAAGCGGATTCACCAACTGGATTCATGCCATGTATGCAAACGCTACCGCAGTAGTGATGGTGAACGGTCACCTCTCAAAGGAATTCCCTTTAACCCGATCCTTGCGGCAAGGCTGCCCGTTAGCGCCACTGTTATTTGTTTTACAACTAGATGTCATTTTAGATAATATCAGGCATAATACCGAAATTGTTGGTCTTAGATTAAATCCGACCCTCGAGTGGAAAGGGGGGGCACTCGCTGACGACTTAACTGTCGCCTGTGAAAACTCCACCTCTTCCTTGGAGGAACTAAAATCGGTATTAGATGAATACTGCCGGTTGTCGGAGGCTTCCATCAATTGGTCTAAATCGGCATATTTCCCTCCATCACAATTTGTACTCAGGGTTGATTGGGGGTTCAGGGAGGTTCCCACAGAAAACTCAGAGAGATTTCTGGGACTTCAGGTCTCACTCACGGACTGCTCAAGGACCCAAGACCAGATTCTGGCAGACAGGGTCAAAACAAGGATTCAGAGTTGGGTCAAGCACTACAAGTTATCTACCTTTGGCAGAGCTCTGATGTTGTCGGCGGCTGCATTCTCGATCCTCTGGTTCCCCCTTTCCATTTGTCTTCTGGGATAAGAGGCTTACACGACCATCAGAACAACCGCGACGAGGTACCTTTGGAAACCAGGGGCGGAGGAGGGCGAGGGATACATTGCTAAAGCCGCTTGGGACACAGTATGCTTTCCCCGTGAAGAAGGTGGTCTGGGACTTCAGGACCCTCATTTGCAAAACTTAGCATTGCTAGCAAAATGGGTGACCAAGGCACTCTTCGAAGACCCTACCAAGCTGTGGGTCCGTCTCGCAGCATATATTTTACAAAAGGAGTGGGCGCTGTCAGACTAGGGAGACGTATGGCAATGTATCCTGATTTCGTCATACCTGAACAGAAGAACCAAGTCCAGACTATGGAGAGATATCCTTCGAGCCTGAAAAAAGGTTATTGCCAAAAGCCCTTTAACCACCAAGTACAAAAAAAGAGATTTCTACGCAATGCCTTTTCGGGAACCCATTGATCCTGGCACCAGATGGAGGCACCTTTATGGGCATGGATGGAGCAGGTAACTTCGGAAAGGCATGGGTGGAAAAATGGGTCATCCTCATCAGACATTTGTGGAATGAAGAAACGAATGATTGGTTATCGGAAGAGCGTTTGAGACAAAAACTTCCACGTCTACGTTTTGTATTCGAAAACAGAAGTAAGATCATCGAAGCCATTCCTCGCCAGTGGGTTTTAACTCTGAATAGTACAGCCGAACATGCAGCAGGCTCTTGGCTTGCGCTCGGAGGAGGAGGAATCTCTGGTGTGGAGACTGATTGGCCCTAATTTGGAAGGGGGGTGGAGGGTGGAGGAATGGAGGGAAGGGACCGCAGTTAAAAGAGGGGTACAACTAATAAAACTTCAAGACGCAACTGTGCAGACTACAACAGTTCTCCTTAAACTCCGTGTTTGGCAGGTTCAGAAGCATACCTTGCTATTGGGAGAAGCAGACTCATTTCGGGTGGAGCCTCTCCTATTAGGCTGGTGTCAGGGGGATAGAGAAATTGATAATCCTATCTCATTGTGTCAATACACCCCGAGGGTAGGTGTGAGATCGTTGAGACTGAGATCGAAACAAGAACACTCCCCCGTCGCTCTGGCAAACAAGAGGTATATGAAGATAAAAGGTTCACTGGCAGAAACTCCTAATTGGCAAGCCCTGTGGAAGGCCTTGAAGAAGTTACCTTCGCAACGAGACTCTTGCTTGTTATGGGCTCAAAGTATACAGATAATTCCAACCGCTCTCTGGCTGGCAGCAAGAGGGATGGACCTGCCCCAGACCTGTAGTCGGTGTAGTTGGGGGTGGGAATC